CAGTTCCAGCTTAATGGTACACAACAACACCAACATATTTACTTTACATGTCACTTAGGACTTTGAAATACTGCCTCAGAAATAGTCATTTAGAACCATTATCCATTAAGACATCAAACAATCCATGCAGAGCAGCCTCCTTGTGCTATATGAATGTTTTTTTAGAATAAGAAAAATGGTAGTTATTTTTTTTTACTCTTTCACTCTTAAGAATGGAAAAATAAAGATTATTGAAATTCTAAAATAAAACATGATATTGTTGTTGTTATGTGCCATCCAGTTGCCTGTGACACATAACAACCCTTTGTACAACAGCCATAAACCCTGCTCTATCTTGTGCCAATCTTATTGTCTTTGACACACCTACACCCCATTACCCCAGTCACTAAATCTGTCCATCTTATCAAGGGTCTTCCTCTCTTGCGCTGTCCCTCCACTCTTCTGAGCATGATGCCCATGTCCAAGGACTGGTGCTGCCTTACAACATGTCCAAAGTATGTCAACAAAGCTTTAGAATCTTTGCCTCCAAGGAGCAGCCTGGCTTCACCCTCTCCAGGATGAACCTGTTTGTTCATGGTATATTCAATATTCATCTCCAACACCACAGTTCAAAGGCATCAATCCTCTTTCTATCATCCCTAATCATTGTCCAGCTTTCATATAAGTAGACAAATGCTCTCAAAAAAAAAACCCAAACCAAAAAACAAAAAACCCCACAAATCTAGCAGTGATTTCAGTTATTTCTGAAAATCTTATTTTGTGAAAACTTATTGTCAGTCTTATGGGAAATTGGTTACAAAGCATTTACAAAACACTTAGTACTCAAATTTGAAGAGTCAAATGAAGGGTATTATTTCCTCTTATATTTTTCTTTTTGTAAAATCTGTATCATGGAACTCTTTTTAGAACAATTTTGGGGAAGATCTTTGTGTCAACCTCTTTTTTTCCCTAGTATTACTAAACTGGTTTTTAAAAAAAAAATTTTATTGGGAAAAACATATTGGGGATACAAGGATGTGAGGGTTGGGAGCAGAAGGGTGAGGATGGGCAGGGATGGAAATTGCAGGGATGCACAATTTGGTTGGTGGGTGGAGCAGTTGCAGGAAATGAAAAGGATCCAGTGGGGACCAGATGATACAGGGCAATGGTAAGCTTAGTCCAATGGTGATTAAACAAACTGTCTTATTCACTTGTGGGTTTCTCATTTGGGAATTGGGCACAGACTCTCTGGTATCTTCATGCTGAACAGAAACATTTATGTGAATGGGGTAAAGGGACCACACTTTATCACCTTACTGGTGGTTTTGTGTTAAAGCTGCTTGCCTTCTTGTTCTGTTAGAAGATATTTTCCTGACTTGTACTCCCCTCTGGACTGCAAAGTGTTTTCCCAGGTGGGTCCAGTGGGGATGGCTGGTTGAACCCTGAGGCTCCATCCTCCTTTGCTTCCTTAGCTGGCAATTGTATTTCCTTTTTGTTTCTGGAACTGGGTTGTATCAACCTCTTATACTCATGCTAGCATTGTTAGAACTAAAAATCTGGTCATATAAACCTGGAAAGCAATTAAACTTTGATAGTAATATAAACAAGTCATCTGAAGTGCTGGAAAACAAGTATCCTATAGAACTATTTTCTGAAAAGCTAGTTCCACATATTAGATAGCTGGGAAGTCTACTAACCTAACTTTCACAGTGCCTGGAGGAAAGAAATGTTTCATTGTAGTACTTCTTCCAGCAAATGACTTAATTGTGTTGATTCTCTATGCTGGAAACATTCCCAAATTAAGCACTCAACCTATTTATCAATGTGCCAACTAAGTGAATAAAACCACTAAATACTTTTAGATGAAGGTGTGAAGATATATGGGTCTGTTGCACAGATGTGCCACAAACATTTAATTTTAACTTCATGTTAAACAAGTTTTTCAGGAAATAGAAATAAAAAACTTTGGAACAACTTATTCATAACCCTTATGTTTATTTGTACCAGAAAAACTTTTTCCTGTTGGATTATTTAAGAAGCTCTGGAGGCCTAGTGGATAGAGAATTTCACTGTTAACTCAAAAATGGTGTCTCTCTGTTGGTTCAAATACACCAGCAACTCTGAAGGAGACAGATGGGCAATCCTCCTTGGTGGATATTATAGCCTTCAAAACCCCACTGGAGGGTTTGATACAAATCAGTGCCAAGTTATAGGCAATGACTTTGATTTTCATTTCATTTGATTAATTAAGACCAAATAAAGATGTTGACGGCAAATAACAACAACAACAACATGGTTGTATACTCTATGTCTAAACAACTGACAAATGTGCTTTATTTAGGAAATAAATCTATTTCTAAATCTAGAGAAAGGATTTTTTAATTTTACAAAGTTTGAGTTCTCTACTTTAACTGTAAGGGTTATGCTGTAAAGCAGAGTCACAAATTATAATTTCTGTTTTCTTATTAAATAATATTTCCACTTTAAAATTTTAATTAATTAAAATTGTAACAGATATCATAGTTGCACTTGTAATTAAAGTTACAAATGTAGGTCTTTCATATTGACAAAATATGTAGGTGAAAAATAAGACATTACATTTTTATTGATTGCCTTCAAGTCGAGCATGACTCATAGTGACCTCATGGACAAAAGGCCTGAGGCCCCTCTAAAATCATCGACATTTATCAAAGTTCATAAAGTTTCCAGAGGCATGTTATTTAGGAAGTGGATGCCAATCCTGCTTCCAAACCTGTCATAGTATGCTATGACATACTACGTAGTGCAACTGAGTTGCCTGTATAGTGATCCCATGTACAGTAGCTCTGAATCCTTCCCTGTCCTGAGTCAAAAGGATTTTATCCTCCTCACCATTTATATATACCCTACTGTACATAGGGTCACTATACCTATATATACATATATATATACACACACACATATACATATATATATACCCACACACACACATACACACATCTGTTTAAATGAGATTACAGAAAACTTAGATTTCCATTCACTCTTTGTTGCACATTTTCCTCTGTACCCCTCCCCAGTTTGCTTTTCTCTTTAAGAAGATTTTTTTCATTGTTGCAGGATTTCCCTTCTCCCCTTGCCCTCCAGTCCACTTTGTTATGCAACTCTTATTGTTACACAAATAATGCCTAACATGTATTTCTTTTAGACAGTTTTTTCTCATCTGTTTAAATGCAGTGTTCATTATTTATCCCCTCTTTTCTTAGTTTCCCCTAGCCTCCATGTTAGTCCTGTTTTATAACAGTGATGTTATGCAGTATTTGTCTTTTTGTGACTGAGGTATTTCACTCAGCATAATGTCCTCCAGGGTCACACATTTTGTATAATATTTTAAGAGTTTCTTTTTTCAATGCTGTGTAGTATTGCATTGTGTGAATATACCACAGCTTCTCTATCCATTCATTTGTTGATAGGCACTTGGGTTGTTTCCATCTCACCCTATAATGCTAACTTTCTTAGTAGAATGGTAAGCATGCTTCTGATGTTTGTTGTTGTTGTTTTGTTTATTTCTAATTTTCAGAATTTGAAAATGAATATACCAGTTTGTGATGTAAATATCTTCTGAACATCATCGTAATTTTTGCTTGAACTTTTTCTTTTATTTTTGCCATATTTTGAATATATTTATTAGTATCTATTTCTTCTTGACTTCTGAATTTCTTCATTGAAGAAAATCACCCCAACTCAATCTATAGATAAGATCAGTCTAGGTTTCATAATCTTTATTTTATTTTAATAGCACTGACTCATTGCTGTCAAATCTGAACTGATTCATAGCTGACTTCCATTAGGTTTGCAGAAGCTACAAATTTCATGTTAAGAGATTGTCCATCTTTCTTCCACCGAGCTGTTGATAAATTTGAACCACCATAGGCCTTTCAGATAGCAGTCCAACTCCCTATGGACTAGGCCACCTGATTTTAAAATAGAGTTATACTATAAGCTACTACGTTTTAAAATATAGACTATCATTCTATGTTGAGATTCCAGTGTTAAAACTTACATTGTCATGATTGGTTAAGGTCCCTGTGGGCTTCTTAAACAGTCTCTCTAAGTGAACTAAGAGCTTGGCAAGACGTCCTGGCTTCATACTGCTTTCCATGGTGGACTAGTAACTCAAAGGTTAGTGGTTTGAATCTATCTACTGCTCTGTCAGAGAAAGATGAGAAGCCTCCTCCCGAAAAGATATACAACTTTGGAAACTGGTTGAAAGGTCACCATGAAATTAGAATTGACTCAAGGGCAAGATTTTGGTGAGGATGTATTAGTTTAGGTAACCCATTTAACTATAATTTGGGAAACAAAAGGATTTGTCGTTGCATTTATTAGTAGTAAGACTGAAGGATAGGACGAGGCATGTAACTAAAAGGTTAGTAGTTCAAGCCCACCATACTTTCAGCAGGAGAAAGACATGGCAGGCTGCTTTCAGATCTTAGCTTTGGGGATCCTTAGGGTAGCCCCCCCCCCGTTCTGAAGTGTTGTCATGAATTGGGGAGGATAATAAGGTGTACTTTTTTGTTCTCATAATTAAGTGAGTCAACACAAATACTTGAAATAGTTTCTGAATTATATCAACTCAGTATACTCTTCTGCTTTCATCAGCTCCCAAGAAATGGTACATGGCAGATAAAGGTACTTGTTTTTCAAAACTATGCAGATGAAAAATATGTAAACCCTATAAAAATCTTGTCTTTAGTTGTGTTTTAATCAATTAAAGTGAAACTATACCATATTGACTATGGAGAAATTTTTACAACTTTTTCCCTGAAAAAAAAAAAGTATACCAAAACACCACTACTGAGGTGGTTCCAATGAGAAATAAGCCTCTGTTAGGATCTGGAGGCTGTAAATAAAACTAGAGAGATGACTTATCTTTCTATCCATCAGGACTTAATGTCCTACTTCAAAAGAACTGACTCCCTTTCCCTTCCTGCAGTTAGCATTAACATCTTTATGTCCACTCATTTTTTTTCTTCTATTTGCAGACAATGCACAACAATCTATTGAAGTCCCTGTGTATGTGCAAGTTCTTAATATTAACGATCATGCTCCCGAGTTCTCTCAGTATTACGAGACTTATGTCTGTGAAAATGAAGAAGTTGGTAAGGTAAGAACCTGGAAAAACTAGGTCAAGCTTAAGTGATGTTCACTACACACTCCTTATGCCTGTTGTCATGTATGCCTCCAATTTTGAAATATTTAAAATGGAAACTTTGCTTCAGTTATATTAGTAATGTAATAAGTTGCTGCTGTTGTTGTTGTTGTTGATTGCCATCAAGTAAAACCCACAAAGTGTAGCAGCCTCCTTAGAGGTAAGCGTGGTGAAACTTCATCTCACATACTTTGGGCATGAGGTTAGGAGGGCCCAGTCCTTGGAAAAAGTCATCATGCTGAGAAAGAAGGATGGTCAGAGGAAGAAAAGACCTCCAACAAGATGGATTGTCACTCTGACCGTAACAGTGACCTTAAACGTGTTGAAGATCCTGAAGACACAGCAGGATAGGACAGGATTAAGATCTAGGCAGGGTCTCATAAAGCCACTATGAATCCTAAGCAACTCGATGGCCTATAACAACAAGTAGCTCCACAGGAGAAAAGTCTGGAACTCTACTCCTGTAGTTTATAGGCAAGAAAAGCCTACTGTGTTTTTTTTTTTTTTATTACGATGAGTCAGAATTAACTTGGGTACATATGTTGTGTTGTTGTTATGTGCCGTTGAGTCGCCTGCGACTCATGAGTACATATAGCAAGAATAATTATGATTTCACATTGCAGATTGTATAATTTAAATTTTTATTTGTAAAAATATATACTTGTCTAATGTATTGACAGAGTTATGTGCCAAAAATCAGGCTATTGTTTGATATCATTGTAATGAAAAAAATAGAAGATGTATATATCATTCCATATCTGTATCATCGTATTATTACAAACTTAAATCATTGCAAAATTGCTGATTTTTTATCATCGTTGTTGTTATGTGCTGTCAAGTTGGCACCAACTCATAAGCTGACCTTCCAAAGGGTTTTCAGAGCCTGTAAATCACACAGAAGGAAATTTAGCTTCTCCCTCAGAACAAAAGAAAGATTTGAACTGCTTGCCTTTGGGGTGAGAACACAGCGCCTTACCACCAGACCACTCTAATGTCAAACAGCTGAGAATGATGGTCAAGCCAAACTGATGCAAATAACCACAACAGCCACCATTACTCTTGCTTCATGCATTGGCATGCATCAATGCCGAATTAACATTCTTCAAGTGTAAAATATTTGAAGAATAGATATTTTAGTATTGTCTTAAATGTGAAGTATCAGATAACATGATGATCAATAAATGAGGAGAAATTGTAACATAAATTTCACATTTTCCATTTCCAAATTTCCTATGCAGTTAAGAAATCTGCTAAGACTAAGAATTCATCTTTGGCTCATTCAGATTTTGTTGACAATAAATAAAAACATAAGAGTTTATTTTATTTTTTGGTATTTCTATGGTATAATCACTTTTTAATGAAGTTTTAATTCATTGTGGTGATAAAGCTAAAAGAATACATAAGTATAAATATATGCAAGAGAACAAAACTCAAAATTTTCCTATAACTTACTTCTTATAGCAAAATACACCAGAGAAAATGAACTTCATTTCATGTAAATTTAGAAAAATAAAAACATATGAGTGTGCTCATTTCTAAATGTATAACTATTATTTTATAACATAACATAATCAATTTTTTAAAACTACATAATACACATAAATCTAATAAATGATATTTTAAATGTAGCAAAGATGGTTCTTTAATATTCAAATAATTTTGAAAATAATTTATCTTATACTTTGTCAAATAATGCAACCACTACATACTTGTACTAGCTAATACATAAATACTAAGAACTAGCTTAATGTTATTTCTGGACTTTAAACTTGCATTGTCAAAATTGAATACTTTAAAATAAAGTCTTCAGTAGCTCATATTTTTTGGAAAAAAGACAGGCTACTTTCTGTTTTCTAGGATTGCCAATTATTTAGTATTTAGTTTTATAAATTTTTAACAAATATACTGTACCTAATACTTTTAAATCACGTGTAGGTACATAATTTCTTGTACATTTCTCCCTTCACAAAGTATTTTAAGTAAATTTAGAAAAAGGATCTTATTGTTTGTTGTTGTTGTGTACTGTAGAATTGTGATCTATTCATAGGCAACCCTCTCATGGGTTTTCAGAGGCATGTAACCGCATGGGAGGAGATTGCCCATCCTTCTCCAGGAGCATCTGGTGGCCTTGAAATGCTTTCCTGCTCAATTGTAGCACAGCTGCTTGCGACTAGGCCAGCAGAGCTCCCCAGGGAAGTAGGGAAATCTTATTAAATACAAAAATATTCAATCACATCTATTATTAGCAAGCCAGGAAGGTCCAAGTTAATACTACAAAACATTTTGTGGCAAAATTCTCCTCCTTGAAGGACTCTGAGGGTGATGGATACTCTTAAGATTCTTTTTCTTGAGGTTCCGGTGTTTCTTCACTGATTTCTGATTTGAGGACGTTCACCTGGACAGCATCACCTAAGATTTAGGACAGCGCTTTAGGGCAGGCAATCCACTTCATAATCGTCCTGAGGCTGTCCTGCTGCCCTAGACTCTGCTATTAATCTTCTGACTCATCTAATAACTGCAAAATGTCTTCTCTGTCAATTGTCTTTGTCAGATGAACAGATAATTAAAAATGTGAATTTTCAACTGAAATCAATGAGAGCTAAAATAAGACTAAAAAGATAGTCTACCAACACCTTATATATCTTCTTATAAGTAAGGCAATGTAACACAATTTTTAAAAAAAGACCTTAAAATGGTGCAATGGTGAAGCTTTGTTTCAACTTTGAGGCTCACTTTCTTACTCTTACGATGATTTAAGTCTTCCAAACATGTATTTAGAAACATTATAAATAATATTGAAATCATTCTCAGGATGACAGAATGGCTAAGTGCTCAAGGTATAATAAATATAATATCCCTCAATTCTGGTACTGTATCTTGGATTTACATTTCTTGGATCTACAGTTCCCTCTTTAGAAAATATTTCAAAAACATTTAGAGAAAGGATTTTCTTGTTTGTTGTTGTTGTGCACTGTGGAGTCGGAACTGACCCAGAACAGACCCTCTGGTGGGTTTGCAGAGGCCGTTAAGCTCCCGGGAGGGACTGCCCCTCCTCCTCCTGGAGCAGCTGGTGGCGTTGACGCGTGCCTGTCCAAATGCCTATGTGATAATTGGGATAGGATTTCTTTTCTTCTATGCTTCCCCAAACCAACTAATTCCTTTAATTTTTGTAACACTTGTAAAAAGGGAAGAATAGCAAAGTATCAATTTTTTAAAAATAGGTTGAACTCCTGAAAAAGAAAATACGTTTCAGCGCAATGTACTCTACTGATAGCTCAAACTCATTGCTATCAAGCTGGGACCAACGCAACACTGAGTCTCTAGTGAGTTTTGGGGAGACTGTGGATTGCACAGGTGAAGATTGCTCATAATTCTCTCACAGAAATTCTGGTGGAGTCAAACTGCTTCGAGGGGTTAGTACGCTCCCTGTCAGAAATACTTTAAGCATAATTTAGGAATAACTACTGTGAAAACGGATATTCAAAGGTGCTATCTTTCAAATAAATAAAAACAAGCTAACACTCTTTTATTTTAATTGGAAAAAAATAGTTGTTTAAATTGGCTTCTAGATTATTAATCAATTAAGAAGTCTTAATTAATATCATATGATGTTGTTGTTGTTGTGTTCCATCAAAGTGGAGCCAACTCATAAGTGACCCCCAGCAGGTTTTCAGAGTCAGTATATGGCCAGAAGGAGATTGCCCATCATTGTCCCACAGAGCACCTAGTAGATTCGAACTACCTGCCTTTGGAATTGTAGTGCAGCTTCTTACCACTAGGCTATCAAGTATGTCAATATAGACATCTATGTCATTATACCATATTCTATGTTTTCTTGGCAAATTTTTGTAAAAAAATATATTTTTCCAAAAGAATTGGAAGTGTATTTATAATTAAGTAGTTTTTGATACTGGAGCTTTCTTCATTGTGGTCAAACATCAGAAAAATTTAGTCTTTTTTTTTTTTTTGCATTGAATCCTCATTCTTGGCCTCTAAATTTTCAGAGTCAAAGAAAGATAGTAAAGTGTTTAATGAAAGTTTCTTCATTTTCTTGAGTGGCATTTCCCACTGCAATTCTAATTCTGTTGTGAGCAGAGCCTTCCAAAACAGCTGCTGGTGAGTCTGGTTGAAGTTGGTAGATACATCTCTTTTGCTTTAAGAAAAATGAACAAGATGATGAAATGTGATTTGTTCTTTTAATCTATTCTTAGATGTTGTCTTTTGTGTCTTTTATTTTATTTTGTCTTTTGTTTTCTGAGAAACAGAGCTGTTCTATTGAGAGGTTTGAAATGAACATTTATTTTCCAGTGTCGATTCAAGGGAGTATGACTTCTGCAGTTGATTGTCTCAGATCTTTGTATGGAGTGATTGGTATTCTTGATTATTGTCTAAAAACTCTGTGTATGAGAGCTCACGAGTCTTATTTCAGATATATTACACCTCATATGGGAATAAAATATCAAAACATCATGAACAACAATAATAAAAAGATTGCACAATATGACAACAATAAGAGAGAACCTTTTGAGGCTTTCCCCACACTTCCAAATTAGATAATCTCCCACCCCCTCCAGATGCACGTCTTCTCTAACAGCTGCTGATCCACAGAATCTCCTGTTGTTGTTACATGCCACTGAGTCGCCTGTATCTCATAGCGTCCCCATGTACAACAGCTATGAAACCTGTCCTATTCTGAGCCAGGCTCACTGACTCCAACACACCTCATCCCATAGTCCCAGTTATCATGCCAATTCATCTCATCTAGTGTCTTCCTCTCCTACACTGTCCTTCTACCCATCGAAGCATGTAGAAGAAAAGATTATTAAATTCATATTAATATTAACAGTAGCAAAGGACTTGTTCATGTTTTGTAAATTATAGCTTGGCCTCCATTCTCTTTGAAGGAGATTGTGAATAAGCTTTAACAAATCCACGAACCACTGATATATGAACAA